ATGATCGAATTTGATGCTTTAAAGTTGAGTTTTGAGCTTGAGGTTCAAATCTGGAAATTCTAGATTTTGGACTCACGCTCGAGCGGGGAACTCCACGCTCAAGCGTACACTGAGTTCATGCAGTCCGCTCGAGTGGGAAATGCGTGTATCCAGCACTTTGCATGTGTTTACAGTCCGCTCGAGCGGGGAAATGCACGCTCGAGCAAGGACTTGTCTCTCACGCTCGAGCGGGGGTCGAGCGCCCGTCGAGCGTGAATTTCTTGCATCCAGTACTTTTGTAGTCCACTCGAGCGAGGAAAGTCACACTCGAGCAGAGCTCCTTTGTCTGCATGTCCGCTCGAGCGTAGAAAGCCACGCTCGAGCGAGACCCCTGTTTTTTGAAAATTTTGAAAAGTGTTCTAAAGTGCATCTTTGCATCCTCTTTCCATCCTAGGCATTCCTAAGCCATGTTTAAGGCATCTTAGTGAGGATATTGATGTAGAACCACACCGAGACAAGTTAGGGGTTAAGTTATTAAACCCAAGTGTATAACTTAGTGTGTGTTCGTTCTGAAACTGTAGGATTGGCATCCGAGGACGCTCATTAGATGCTTATAGCCCAGTGCTCTGTGAGTGACAATGTTGTAAATATATGTTCAATTATGAATATTTTCTGAAAGATCAACTGTTCTGTTTACTGAAACGTTATTGTTTAATGAATGAATGTTTGTCATATTTGTAAACTGTATCCATGGTATCCATAACAATTTACTGCTATTGTACTGTTACTGCTACTGTCACAGAGATCTCTATCGGTTCCCAAGTTTGGAACCACTACTGTTACTGTTATGATGGCCATTAACTTACTGCTCGGTCTGTTAAGACCTACTGTACTGTTTTGCTATTGGATATACCACATATAACTGCTATGGTTTCTAAATGACTGATATAACTGTTTAATGACTGAAAGGACATTCATTTTTAACCTCTTTACACAACTGTTATTCACTGGGCTTTAGCTCACTGTTTATATATATATGTAGGTGTCTAGGCACCAGATCGATACTAGGA